CAAAATACTTGGCTAGCATCAGAGCCAACGGTAGCTTGCAGTTTTCGCCGGAATCATCAAAGCATTCGTTGTTTCAGCAGATACACGACATTACCAAGTGATAGCAGCTACAGCAGTTCGTGCAGCATACAGTACTAAGAGGAAAGATCGCGGTCTCGTGGTCTTTTTTATGTGATCATCCTCCTCCCCGCAACCGCACGCGGGAGGCGTCCTAAAACGTTCGCCGATGTTGGTTACATGCACATTCCCGAAAATAATTTAAAGCTCTGCAGTATACCGCAAAATCTGAGAATATTCGTTGCGAGACAACAGGGGTATAGGCAGTCTTTGGACGTCAATATGCAAGTTTTGGTGTAGAATATCCCTGTTGCAGCGCAACGAAATTTCTCAGATTTTACGGTATATAACGGTTGTATGTAGGTTCTTTTGCCTAATGCGTAGAGGTGGATGCTGGTGCGAGATGGAGATCTGAAACCATATTTGGAGACTATCAGAGACATAGTTTTGCTTAACCATGGTTTCGCACAAAAAGTATGACACATGTAGCAGAGTGCATGTAGTTCAATAATATAGGCAAGTAAATACGTAGGTAATGTATGTACAATACATGTCTTAGGCCAAGCCTCTGATCAAGGCCATGGGATGTTGATTATCTAGATATACTCCATAGTACTCGATTTGACATTGTTATCCTCCTGGAATTCCCAAAGATAAAAACAACAGCCTGCGAACTTGCTGGGGTTTCAGCGGGTTCTGGAATTTCTACTCCATAGTGAGCATCTCAATGTTCCACAACGTCACCGCAGAGAGCTGAATGGAGAAGGCTAACCATGTAGCCCCCTATGCATCAATACCATCAGCACCAACCAGAGGGTCCTCTCGCAAAACGTGCCAGCAGTCCAAGCCCAACAGGGAGAAATCAGGTTCTCTGGGGTGTAGGGTTTGACGCGGCTCTGACGCCATTTCTTGGGTCGGATCTTCAACACATTGAACAACCTTCAGAGAACGTCGGGTTTCGCTGTGATGTGGCAGCAGAAGAAAACACAACTTCTTTAGTTTTTCGTTATTAGATCATCGAGGATTCCAGTGTGAAAGCAAACAGGGATTTATGAATGGCGTTAATTGGACGAAAAGGATTGAGGGTCCAGATTTAAACGGATGACGGACTAAGCTAGACCGCCCACTGCTTGACGGTTAACTTTCAGTGATATTTAATAGAGTAGAAACTTTAGGCCAACCATCGATTTTAAAAAATGCTGGTCGCTAAATTGCTAATTGTGGGTAGCAAAATGCTAGTTACGGGAACCGTTTTGCTGGGTGGCAAATAGCATTTTTCAAAATTGATGGTCGACCTAAAGTTTCTATTTAACCCCAGGGCATCAGGTTTAGGTTTTGAGATTTTGGTCATCATGCCATAGTTGGTAGAACGCACTCTACACTTTTCCGACTTGCCAATCTACAACCTGGGTAGAATAACGAGTAGGCATCTACTTGCCTGCCTCAAAGCTGCTTTACGCCGCAAATTGTAAGCTCACGGTAACCACTGCGCCCTTATCTCTCGATCGGTAGCTAGTGCTGTTGCCTGCGCGGCCAGGTTCTCCAGACTGGACTGGAAACTTACGGAAGTAGAAGTATGTAGAACTAACGGCTCCTACAGCCCTCGTTGACAGCCACCGACGGTAAGGACGAGACAGCCAAGAGAGCTCCTACATACATGTAATTGCTTGGATTGCTTGGATCCTGGTCTTCCGAGAAACTACAATAAGCTCGACCTGTCCACCGGTCTTTGGTTTTGCATTTTTCCATAACATTACATACACACTCTCATTGAATTCGCGTCCCCCCACCCCCCCCCCCCCCCGGGCTAACATTATCCACTCACCATTATCCACTCACCTGTGACCGGAGACACTCATACTACTACGTTACGTTAGTCAGGTCGAATTAACACCACCACCACTTCATGGGTTTCGTTACCGCCCCAACATCGTTTAGAAACAATGTCCTCTCCGCAGCAACGCCATTGTTCTCGATACAACCTCAATATCAAATGTCTCTCGCCATGATACCTTCAAACGATACCCTCGCTGCTTTCGAGGGAACTATGTTCAACGAAAAACCCCACGCTAATCATCCAGCTCTGGGAAACCTAATTCTCCTCGTTTTCGAGGCTGTGATGGAGGTCGTTTGCGTATCGCTGCCGGGCTACATTATCGCTAGAGGCGGTATGTTCGATGCAGAGCAACAAAAGTTTGTTGCGAATTTGAACGTTTCGTTGTTTACACCCTGTCTGAGTACGTTCTCCCCTGAGATCTCCTGAGATGATCGCTGTATTCGGCGCCTCAATACTGCTCGCTTGGGACTCTTGAATTAAAGTCACTGCTAATGCAATGCATGCGCGCCACAGTTTTTACAAAACTGGCAAGTCAGCTTACTTTGGCGAAGATCGTCGAGCTGGCTGTAATACCGGTGATCTTTGTTGTCATGACGTTGGTTTCATATTTGTGCGCCTTGATGGTTTGCAAAATATGTGGGTTCAACAAGAGAGCGAGAAACTTCGTCATTGCTATGGTAAGAGTTTTACATCATGGGCGCGGAGTTTCTATTAGGGAATTTGACTGATGTTCCGCTTAGGGTGTTTTTGGAAATTCAAACTCTCTCCCAATTTCGCTGGTTATCTCGCTTTCCATGACAATATCTGGACTTCACTGGGACAAGCTTCCGAACGATAACGACGAAGAAGTCGCTGCTCGCGGTATCCTCTATCTTTTAATCTTTCAACAGCTTGGGCAGCTTGTCCGTTGGTCTTGGGGCTATCATGTTCTGCTTGCTCCTCCACCCAAGGTAACCCAACCGGAGAACGAAAATACAGATATCCGTGTTTATCGTGATGATCCAAGCGATACCGAGAGCGACCTTGAATCCCAAGGCGTCAGAGTTGACCCTTTCATGTCACCACGATTCCAGAACAGCTATGTAGGACTTCACAAACAACTTACCGAACCAGTTGACAACCAAGGCGATCTACTATTCCCGGACTCCCGCCATCATTCCAGAAAGAACACAGCCGGTACCAGTGAATCTGCTTTTGGATCAAATGGCGGGCCTTCAGGCGCCCAAACACCGAGATCTCCCAAGACTGGTGCCAGCAGTTTAACTGTATCAGCACAATCTAGCCGCCCCTCGACCCCTCCTAGTGATGGAATCTTACCGACTCAAGGCAATCTTGGCAACCGCGATCTTACCCGATTCCCAAGGGTTCATAATTCTGTACCTGCCCAGCCTCGTTGGTTGGAACGGAAGGCCCCATTTGTGTCTCGCGTCTTCAAAACTATTGGGAATGGAGTTGTGCGCTTTTGTTTGGGGCTTCAAGATTTTATGAACCCTCCGCTTTACGCCATGTTAGCGGCGGTAATTGTTGCCTCAATCCCTCCATTGCAAAAGCTTTTCTTCACTCAGGGCACCTTCCTCCAGAATTCGGTGACACGCGCAGTCAGTCAGTGTGGTAATGTCGCCGTTCCTTTGATCTTGGTCGTTCTCGGCGCCAATCTCGCAAGAAACACTCAACCCAAGACCAGTGCTTCGACCGATCGTCATGAGACAAAGCTCCTCTTTGCAGCCCTCATCTCCCGTATGGTGCTTCCGTTCGTTTTCATCGCTCCCATGCTCGCGATTGCCGCCAAATTCCTCAATATTTCAATTCTTGACGACCCTATCTTTGTCATAGTCTGCTTCTTGTTGGCTGGTGCTCCGAGTGCCCTGCAGCTGGCTCAAATTTGCCAGTTGAATGGTGTCTATGAGTCTGTTATGGCGAAGATTTTATTCTGGAGTTACGTGGTTGTCATCTTACCTAGTACTTTGGTCTTGGTAATCACGGCTATCGAGGTTGTAGAATGGGCCATGTAAACGCTTGGGGGTTGCGTAATGTGCATGCATTGACTGGACCTTTCTGCTCAAATTTCATTTCTTCAAATTTCGGGTAATAAGTTTTCTCTGTAGCAAAAGGGATTTCTTACTCGAATTGTTTAGCTTTACATATGTTTTAGTTTCGGGTCTCGGATTTTATTTTCGGTTTATGCAATAAGCTTTTTCTTTCGAGACTTTTATATTCGTGCGAAAAGTCGTTTCTTATGTCCAGGGGCTTGGGAATCTTTTTCTTTCCGGGTTGCATACAGTACAGATCTGGGCGCGGTGGCTTGGTTTTTCCTTTCTCTTGCTGAATATTTATGAACGACGAGGGTGGACAAGAAACGCTGAATGTATAATACGTAACGTAACGAAACAAGAGTGATAACAAAGATGAAGTGCTCTTATCTCCGATGATGATAGCCAAGGACCAAAAATAATTAAATTGGACCATTTCTGGTAGGCTGCGCATGATAAGCGTTCTCAACCAGCCCACGACTCCAAACCATACCCTGATAGAAGAAACACACGAGATCAAGTTGAGACCGGTCGGTCAGTCCCGTGCGAGGTGAGGGAAGGGAATTCGGCTGTGCTGTAGTACCTGGTTAGTGCTTCTCGGGAAATCCAGGGTCTGGATCAAGGAAAGCCTGGCTGGTTTGGCGCCTGCCATGTTTCGCCTGTCCAAAAGGACATTTTACTTTTTCAAAATTTTGTTTTTTCTGGTTTTTGTTCATTGGTTTTGTTTCTGCTCTGTTCCCCCCTTTACCTACCAGAACAAGGCCTTCACCTTTTGTTTTCTTCGGGGCAAAAACCGAAAACCCTTATTACTATCCACAGTCTTATCTTATTCTTATATCTTTACCCCTCCCTTTGCTAGGCCCTCTCTTCTGGGTCAAGATATATACCGCGTTACCTACCTACCCATTCATTCTGTGCCGCAAGTAGCAGTTACACGTTCACCAATAAAGAAGCAAAAACTATCGACATTTGTACAGAGTACACAAGCCCACCTTATTTAGGCTGCATCGTAGAATTACCGCATCTCCCGCCTGAGCTACAAACCTTAAAGGATCCACACAATAGTTGCGTCTCAGATGGCCACTCCGGCAGCTTCAACTGCTTCCGCGCCCGCAGATGCTGCTACCAAGGGTGTGTTTCCTGCTGATCCATTTTACAGTGCGTATTAACCTAATCTAAACTCTCTCTACGACAGACATTGTCCCGACAGCGGCAGAAGGGCAAATAATAGGTTCTACTGATAATACTGAGGTATCGCCAGAGCAAAAAAAGCCGGCTCGTCCTTCAACTATATTGCATAGAAAAGTCAGCAGCAAACGCCTCGTTGGGCGTTTGCCGATTTCACCATCTCCCGGGAGCTCTGCTTCTCAATCCCGTGTTTCTCTAGTAGCGAATCAATTACTGCAGGATAGTCTGCAGGAAGGAGTTCAATCATCGCGAACAACAGAAAATGAAGATTCGCAAACAGATCAGCCCACCAATACACAGGGTGCTGCGGGGCGGCACCACCGTCTGTCTGCCGCAGGGGCAGCTTTTTCGGGGTTGATGGAACAGTTGAGAGACTGGGCCCACACAGAAAGAGCGAGACAGAAAACTCGTCGTGAGAAGAAAGCCGCCAAGATTATTGAACGCCGCACATCGCAGAAAGCAGGAAAAAGCTCCGATGCAGCTGGCAAGGATAACGAAGAACATGATGATACCATATCACCTATTTCGAGTGGTGATGAAGCTGGTAAGACAGCTTTGGACGCGTTTGATGCGATTTTAGCTGCTGCTGAGTCTTCCAATTCGGGAAGACCAACTGTCCAGTTTAAACAATCTAAACGGAAATCCAGCAAAGCTAGATCTCTCAAGGGAGGGCATACTTCGGACACCGATTATGCTTCTGATGGTGAGCCGGTGGTTCCTGCATGTGAAGTGATCTTGCCATTGGTGGAGGAGTTGGGAGTGGATGAGTTTAAAAACCAGGTTTTGAGAATGGCCCATACCCTTAGATGCAAGGGATGGAGGAGAGTTTCCCTGGACAGATATAAAGAAATAAGCGTAGAGAGGATCAGTGGGGCATTGACTAATGCTGTAAGTTGCTTTCTTTTCGCCTTTTGCTTTAGAGTCCGTGAAAGGAATCGGCACAAGATTGTAATAATTAAGATTATGCGGCTGTTTCAAATATCTGTGTTTGAAAGCCTTGCTTTCTATTACTAATCTCGCGGCGCGGTGTCCTGAGCTGGGTAATCACTTCAGTAATTAAAAATAAAGACTTGCAGAAATCAGTGAAATATGACGGATTCCACAGATTGGTTTAGACGTATGCTAATATGATATAATGCCATTTTTATCAGGTTTTCATGGTCTCTCCACCCAGCGAACTTCCGCCTATAGTGACAGGTCAGGACCACCAGGGCAGTATAATCTCTTCTGCGTCAATGAAGTTGCCAGCGTATGACCATTGCTCCTAGTTTAGTCTTGGAAAACGTATAATTGGAGTTCTAACCCTTTGTAGAAAACTTCTACTCCGAATTTACGGTCCTCAAGCTTCGCATCTCATCGACCGTGATAGTGAACTCTCAATTCTTCGTCGCCTGGCCCGCAAACGCATTGGTCCACGCCTCCTTGGAACTTTTGAAAATGGTCGATTTGAAGAGTTCTTTCCATCACGCACACTCACTCGGGACGATATAAGGAATCCAGAAACTTCTAGACATATTGCAAAGAGATTGAAGGAGCTACACGAAGGAATTGAATTGGAAGCAAAAGAGATAGAGAGAGGCCCTATTGTTTGGTCTAACTGGGACAAATGGGTTCCAAGAGTTAGAGGAATCATGACAAAAATTGGGGCCAGTGACAGGAAAGGGGGGCCGATTGCTGGAACTGAGTGGGAGAAGTTCGAAACCGCTGTCCTGAAGTATCGTCAATGGCTTGAAGAGCGTTATGGAGGGCCGGAGGGTGTAAAGAGACAGTTGGTTTTTGCGCATAATGATGTGGGTTAAGCCGAAATTTCATGAGTATTGGTAGTGGTTTCTAACCTCGGGAGATAGACACAATATGGTAACATCCTGAGGTTGCAAGCGGGTGGGAAGAGTCCTCTTCTTCTTCCCATGAATGAGCATAAGCAATTGGTCGTCATTGACTTTGAGTATGCCAACGCTAATCTCCCAGGATTTGAGTTTGCAAACCATTTCGTAAGTACTAAATCTACTCCATCATCTGGATCCTCATCTGGAAGGCCCTTTGTATTGTATAAATCTGTATTAATCATCTTCTAAAGTGCGAGTGGATGTCAAACTATCACGGCCCCGACCCACCTCACATGATAAAGGAAAATGACTACCCCAACCTTGAACAACAGCGCAACTTCATCCGTGCTTATGTCGAACATCGCCTTGTGGGGGCGTATAGCACTAAAACACCACCTGCTAGTAATCCAGACCTCGTAAATTTGGATGTGCGGGGTGTTCCCTCGTTCAACTTAGATGCTCGTGCTCCTGCGATGCATTACAAAGAGGAAGAAGCTGCTCGCCAGCGCGCAGTAGAGAAGGAGGTCGATAGACTTGTTGAGGAGACTTTAGTTTGGCGTTCTGCGACTCATGCAATGTGGTGTGCCTGGGGTATTATACAAGCTAAACTAAACCCCACAGGGACTGAGCAAGAAGAACATCTCAAGAAGAACGATCCTGATTACAAGGAAAGCACACTTTCTGAAGAAGCGACGAACGCAGCCAAAGATATGGAGGATAGGAGAAGTGAAGATGAAGACGAGTTCGATTATCTTTACTATTCCCAGCAAAGAGCTCTACTATTCTGGGGGGACATGCTGAAATTTGGCATCGTCAAGCCTGAAGAGGTGGATGGGTTTGTCCTCAATAACTTGAAAAAAGTTGAGTATTGAGTTTTGGCCGCCGTAGTTAGTTAAGGATTCTCTCGGTATACGTTGGTCGGGTTCCTATGGCAGTTGGTGTACGGGTTTGCCTTTCTCAATTCGTCTTGCTGTACTAGTAAATGATTAAATACATGGGTGGATGGGACGCCTTTATGACACCCTTATTAAAGTATTAGAAGGAGTTTATGCCAATCGCATAGACATTTCAGAATTTCGAGTCTTCATTACAGTGTCTACCCAATGCACTGTAGCCTGGCTGCGCGTTATAGGTTCTGCGTAAACCATATGTTTGGGTGTGCCGTCGCGTTGTGGGAAGAGGTTATGTTTGTCGAATTTTGGTCGTCTTACAAGACTCGCTGGGTGGCCCTACAGCCCACTAGAAACCTTGAAATATGAACTGCATCGACCAAAACTACGAACCATACCCAGTTACCTTCAAGGCCTCTTTCTGCTGCTAGCGATAGCACCCAAACCGAAACTTACCCAATATTAGCGCTAGCTCTTTTAAGAGGCTTACCCCACCCCAACCCTCCCCGGTGGGCTTTAAGGGAAGAAATCGCTGCCGAGATTGCCGAGATAACGGACTACACATTTTCTTACCCCTTATCTTACCCTTACACCTAACGTAACCCCTAGAACGATACTGGATGTGCTATCTACACCTTCGGACCATCATTTCAGTACAACTCCATTTCCAAACGGTGCCTCAATTCATTAGCACAAAAGTCGGATATTTCCCTGGTGGCGGTGAGGGCGGTGGTGATAAAACTAAGCCAATACGTTGATACTAGCTCCGAAGGGGGGTGTAGAAACCAAAAAAACACAAAAAAGATAGTTATACCTAGCTGTATAATCTAATTGGAGTCTCACGATCTATTTTAACCGGCGACGAGGGCTTTTATAAAGCCTGGTAGACCAATCAAAGTCCCGTGGATCATCACCAGTTGATGAAATCAAATATGTTATTTTATTCTTTCCAATTTTAGTTCAATATGAGATAATCAAGAAGAAGTTCAGTTGTTGAAGTATGTTCGAAAGTTTATTTTTCTAGTAAGTAGAGTTGCCATCAAGTCTGAAGACTATCATCGGCGGAGGAGTGGCCACCTTATCATTATATCCTGTATTTGATTATTTGAGCGCTATCCTCCGAGGCAATGACAAGTGAGGAGAAGAGTAAATGAGAAACATACTACCGCGTGTGAAACGAGGAGAATTCATATACTCTCTTCTTTAACTCATCTTTATCTTCTTTCCATTGGAATTTCCTACGAATCTGTGATTTAATTTTCATAATAATGATAAAGCTAGAATTAACAATAAAAGTAAAGAATTAAGGTCTAATATTAGGTATCCACACAATTCGATGCTAGAGTCTTCTTGAATAGATGTTTCTGATTGTTCGAAGCAGACAAGAAGCAGGAAATTGACCAGTATCGCAATTATCGCGCGGTTATTTATCAAAGTCATATTATGTCTATCGTTCGCCATTAACATGTATATACTACTGGGCTCAAATAACATGTAATTTATCTTGCGTACAAATGAATGTATTGCAGCAAATCGTTGAATGGCCAGCTCGGTTGCCCAGGAACTAGAACCAGCCATGAGCTTCATAGAAATGCCAAACGGCAAAGTGCCCCTTATAAAGAGTCAACCTATTGAAATATTATGGGCGATTATCATAGGGGTAAAAGCTAGCTTATTGTTGTAATTACCAATGTGGCACTAAAACATGTTCATTTGGTCATTCCCCGTGGTGATAATCTGTGAAGTTGACCGGGTAAAGATTCCTTGGCGTTCTCAGAACTACCCATTATATGCGGAGTCAAGGTGCTTGGAGCAACGCGAGCACCAGGGTGTCCCGCGCAAGATCTCATCCTCCTCTGCCATCATCATCCACCATCCCCATTTCCATCAACCCCACCTCCTCCCATCATCGACCCCCCTTCAAGATCATCCAAATATCTATCAACAGTATTATATCTTTTGAACAGTCTCCGGAACCCTTTTGGAAAGCTATAAATCGGAATCAAAGAAACACCTTAAGTATGCCGGGCTTAAGTTCCGCCGCCGGTCTCATCGGTCTTTTGGATGAACCAGATCAACAGCTTAGGTGTTACGCTTTGCAGAAGCTAGACGAGCTGGTGAATCAATTCTGGCCAGAAATTGCAGATAGTGTTTCGAAAATGTTTGTTGAAACCTCATCGGCGTCTGCACATGTGCTTGCTTCAGGAGCAGATGGCTTTCATCAGATAAACTTAATACCCCGATAGAACCATCAATAGCTAATTATTATGAGGTGTATAGTGAAGTCTTGTACGAAGATGAGCAGTTTTCGGAACGCCAACTCGCCGCTCTTGTAGCTTCCAAGGTCTATTACCACCTCGGCGAGTATGACGAATCTATGATCTTCGCACTCGGAGCTGGAGAGCTGTTTGATATCACCGCTAAAAGTGAATACGTTGAGACAATAATCTGTAGCTATACCCTTATGCTCGGCAGTCTACAAGCCAATCTCTTGAATAATAATCGCTGACGAAAGCGCCCAGCAAAATGCATTGACAAGTACATTTTGATCAACTCCCACAACGATTCCATTCTTTCATCTCCCCCTACCTTGCTACCATCTTTGGTCGACGATGCTTCCTTTCCTGCAACCAATCCAGCTAAGAAGGAAACTCTTGAAACAGTTGACCCAAGGCTGCAAGACATTGTAGAACGAATGTTTCGAAAATGCTATGAGACAGAAGACTACAAACCAGCAATAGGGATTGCTATTGAAGCTAGGCGACTAGATGTCGTGGAAGAGGGCATCAAATTAGCAAGTCAACGAAGCAGAGAAAGGAAGGGCAAAGTTAAGGAAGTGGAAGATGAGAAGGATGGTGGCGTAGAATTAATGGATTACGTACTAGACATAACTATGGGAGTTGTTCAGGAAATTGGATTAAGAGAAAAGGTTTGTTGCCCAGCACACCCAAGTTCTAGAGATCATTTTTTCTCTCTGAGTTTTTATGGTGAAGCTAATTCTTTCCTGTATTTTCAAAGCTTCTTCGCCTCTTGGTCAATCTATTTCTCGCCCAAGCTTCACCTGACTATTTCTCGATTAGCAAGTGTGTAATTCATCTTAACGACACATCTCTTGCCGCAAAAATTCTCCAGGAGCTTGTTCAAAAAGAGGACTCAAAATCTCTTTTAGTAGCCTACCAAATCGCCTTCGACTTAGATTCTTCTGCTACCCAAGAGTTCCTCCAAAAGGTTGCGAGCGAACTCCCTGGATCCGATGTAGATGAGTCTGATGCATTGAGCACTGCTGCAACAGCCGGCGGCGACACAATGATAACAGATTCTACGGAGGACGACGAAAACACAAGATTGCTTGGAGGTAGTGGAAGTTCAACTACCTCTACATCTAAGACAGATAAATACTATCGTTCAATTCGCCAAATCCTCCGTGGAACAAAGAGTATCGAGCTTTCTTTGGAGTTCTTGTACCGAAACAACCACACGGATATGACAATTCTCAACAAAATTAAAGACTCGCTTGAAGCCCGGAACTCAATTTTCCATACTGCCGTGACCTTTTCGAATGCGTTCATGAATGCTGGAACGACAAGTGATGGGTTTTTCAGAGCAAATCTGGAGTGGCTGAGCAAAGCAGTCAACTGGTCTAAATTCACTGCGACTGCTGCTTTGGGAGTTATCCATCGTGGAAACCTCAGTCAGGGAATGAAGCTGCTTGAACCGTATCTTCCACAAGAAGGTGTCGCAACCGGATCCCCATACTCTCAGGGCGGTAGTCTGTACGGTTTGGGCTTAATCTACGCCAACCATGGAACGGATGTGCTTGAGTTCTTAAGAAAACAATTTAAGAATGCCGGAGACGAGATGGTACAGCATGGTGGTGCTTTGGGGCTCGGTGTTGCTGGAATGGCTACAGGGAATCTTCACATTTACGAAGAACTTAAGTCAGTTTTGTATAGTGATTCTGCGATAGCCGGAGAGGCAGTCGGGTTGGCCATGGGTTTGGTTATGCTGGGGACGGGAAATGCAACGGCGCTTGAGGATATGATTCAATATTCACACGAAACACAGCACGAGAAGATTATCCGAGGGATTGCGATCGGGATGGCCTTAATAATGTTTGGAAAACAGGAAGCTGCCGATGACCTGATCAATACATTGCTTGATGACCCTGATGCAACATTGCGTTATGGGGGTATTATGACTATTGCACTGGCCTATTGCGGTACCGGAAGCAACAAGGCAATTCGACAACTCTTACACGTGGCTGTAAGCGACGTTAACGATGACGTTAGGAGGGTTTCGGTTATGAGTCTTGGGTTTATACTCTTCCGGAAACCAAGTGCTGTGCCAAGAATTGTCGAGCTGTTGAGTGAAAGTTACAATCCGCACGTTAGATACGGTGCATCGCTCGCCTTGGGAATTTCATGTGCTGGCACCGGTCTTGACGAAGCCATTGACCTCCTAGAACCAATGATCAAGGACCCCACCGATTTTGTGCGACAGGGTGCGCTAATTTCAATGGCCATGATCCTTGTTCAGCAGAATGATCAAATGAACCCGAAGGTCGCTTCTTTAAGGAAAACATTCGAAAGTATGGTTGCGGAGAAACATGAGGATGCTATGGCCAAGTTTGGGGCTGCTCTTGCGTTAGGTATCATCGATGCTGGTGGTCGTAATGTTACTATTGGACTTCAAACGCAGACCGGAAGTTTAAACCTCCCAGCTATCGTGGGAATGGCAGTGTTCACACAATACTGGTACTGGTTCCCACTGACACATTTCCTCAGCTTGAGCTTTGTTCCCACTGGGCTGATCGGTTTGGATGAAGAATTAAATGTGAGTAATCATTCTTTTTTCTAGTTAACTTCTTTTGCTCATGGGTTCCAGATTCCCGATTTCAAGTTTTATTGCAACACAAAGCCTTCCCTTTTCGACTACCCTCCAAAGATTGAAGAGTCCGCGGAAAAAGTTCCCGAGAAGATTGCTACAGCCGTTCTGTCCACAACAGTGAAGGCACGCCAACGGGCTAAACGCTCTGAGAAGGAGAAGGCTGCCAAAGCTGCTGCTAGAGGTGAAGACATGATGGAAACCGAACCTACAGTTTCTACACCTGTCACACCAGGACCATCTGCTGTAGAAGGGGACGATAAGATGGAGATCGAGGATGATGGCGCTGATAAAAAGGAAGACGGAGAGAAGAAAGATGGCGAAGTCGAGAAGAAGAAAAGGGCGGAGAAAGAGAAGGTTGGTTACGAGGTTGTAAACATGGCTAGGGTATTACCAGAACAGTTGAAGTACATCAGTTTCCCAAATGAGGGCAGGTATGAACCAGTTAAAAAGGTAGAATCACTCTTTTTCATTGAATCTCCTAATCTATTTACTAATTTATTTTAGCCTACTGGTGGAGTATTATTGCTGCTGGATCGCACACCCGATGAGCCTGTTCAGCCTCTAGAATTGAAGGTTCGGAAAGCGCCTGTTACTTCTGGCCCTGGTCACTCTGTTGGTGGATCTGCAAACCAAGACAATACTGGGGGCGCAGCTGCTGCTGTGAATATTCTCAATGCCGAGGATGACGAAGGTGACGATGACGCACCAGTGCCAGAGGAATTTGAATATCACACGGACAGCGAAGAGTCATAGATGTTTCTTTGTGTGAAATGGATTTGGCGGAGACCAGTGTATCTAGCATAAACTTTGACGTTTCGTGTTCTTGTTCAAGTATTGTTATTTCGTTCACGCGGGCCAATTTATTCGTGTCGCAGCAACTAGAGGTTTATTCAATCCTTTAACTATATTCGATTTAGAGTCTTTGATTTAGGCGGCATGGAAGCTCAAGGCAAATAACATGGCCTCTCGGTTTACCTTTCTGCGCAGACCCCCAGTCATCCTGCTGTCTTGGACATGTTTTATTGCGCTTCACCATCACTAAAGTTAAGATATAATTCCGTGAGTAGTAGTTGAGGGGATGGTGAGTAGGAATAGCTTGCCAGCAATTGCTTTTATGAATAGGGATAATAAATTATCAAGTCCCATAATAATATTTCAGTTACGAGTGGAGTAGAACCAATATTGAACTCATCTTTAATTATTTACGAGCTGAGCTGTCCTCGGAATCAAGTCGATTGGAAGATTGAAAGAGCACGATTATGGTGCTTTGAAATGAATGATCTTCCTGCCAGGACAGCGATGCTCTGACCTTCAAATTCCACAGGCCGGCCCTAAGGCCTCATCCATTGCGTATTGCCGCCATATCAATAGTAAATCTGATCTAAAGTTCTCTTCACATATTTTGAATAAGACAGTAAGTCAAGAAAAGCATCTAGATCCGCACCGGTTTCGTTTGCATTATTTAAGGTGAGTGATAGCCATTCTCCCACGACACAAGTTATCGCCAGAAACTGTTACAGAGATGATAAAATTTTAAATAACGACACTGATTCTCTTGGAGCTGACATTCATATATCCACCAACCCTCCATTTACCATCGATAAGACCCTCACACGTACCAATGAAGTCAATCGATGCCACCCCAACCCTGCGGCACTGAAGCCACTGATCCACGTCACCGCATAGCTGGATTCCAGCATTCCCTGAAGTCACCAACTTCGTACACTTCGATCCAGTGAGACTGTACTGCCTGCATTGGACGCCGCTACCCCGGTCGTAGAGAATAAGAGCTGCTCTAAGAACGTCGCCGACAATGGGGGAATTGCCTGCGGTCTTGCAATTGTATGTGATCTCTTCGTCGATTGTAGAGTGTTCCAGCTTCAGGTGAGCGATGAGACTGCCGATGGGAGAGCTTGTGGCATCCTCAGTGGAAAGAGCGGTGCCAATGAGTAGGAGGAAGCAGAAGTAGAAGACGGTGAGAAACTTCATTATGACGGTGTGTGGTCTCTTTCTTTTCGTGGGTTATGTTTGTAGTGGTTTTTGGCTGGTATGTTTCTTAATTTCACGTGTTTATAGACAAACATGAGTGATATTCTATGATCGAAATACCCAGCCTAGAGAAACACAATCTTTCCACCGCGAACTAGAAAACCACGCATAAGCTCTAAACCATGTATTTCATTGTAGGATAAAATACAAGCCAAGTCATACCTTAGCTTTATCCAACACATACTTTCTGCATATACCCACTTATTCATGATCAAGGTGTAAGGCTTTCAACCAAATATCTCCTAGCTGTTTCTGATCATTTCAAAAGGTTACGACGATACAAAATACCTCAATCACAAGAGGAATATACAGCTTTTATTCAGAAAGTAAGCTACATAGTTGTTACGGGAAAGAATACACAAAAATTTCCATAGGTTTTTGGAGTTTCTTAAACCCTAGGCCTAGGACGCAGTGATAAATTATAATTTACTGCAAGTATGCACCCGGGAAATATTCAAGTGCTACGATGAGCTTTCTTTTTGGCGCTATCACTAGAAGCAAAGAGATTATTCTAATGTTTCAGTTGAGCGCAGGCCTTTGAAACAAGGAGAATCGACTTAAAATGGCTTGAAGTACTCTTATAGCGAGGAGTGTAAATGGAGGTAGCTGTTTGAAGAGAAAAACATCTCGAACCCTTTTAAAAAGGCTTTCTTTGACTTATGATGGTAAAGAGAGTCTTTAGTGACAAACGATAAAGGTCTTGGCACTTTTAAGAGATGGAATTTCAACTAAACCGCAGCTTGAAGTTCGGTTTCACGGCACGTAAATTGCCGGGATGACATCTGCATGTACGCTTGGGGTTAGGTGAATTATGAATTCTCATTGCCGTATTCCCGATTCGATTCGAGTGATGATTCGCACTAGACGTTGCAGCTGGCTCTTTCTGGTTAAGGCCGTAGGAGTAAGGCCCATTAGCGAAGCTAGTACTCGTGGAAATCATGGCCATGATAAACCTTAACCTTAAAGCTAAATTCAACGTCAGTTGTGCTTACCACACATTTGGATACGACTGAGGTTTTATCCTTCCCTCAAGAGACCCTCAAAAACAACCTCTCTTCATGTCCATTTATTAGGGGATGTATACATACTATTAATCAAAGCCACTTTGAAAGAGAAAGTGAGACACGAGTTTGTACCCCAATGACTTTCATATTTATCTGGCTGTGGAGAAGACGCTAAAAATATAGCTGCCAAAGGTCGACAGAGTCGTATCTGAGAGCGAGCAAATGATCAAATGACTTCCTAGTTGTGATAAGATACAAACATTGGAGATCTAGATAGAGTATAAATCAAATTTCAAGGCAGTAAAGAATATTTACTTAACCGCTTCACCACAAAGGTCTTGGCATGGTGAGCGTTGCAATACTCATATGCAGTATCAAATTTCATGTTCCACAGGAACACTTTAAGAGTCGGAAATAGACAAGCTTTAGAAATTCTCTCGGCATTACCAGTTATACGGATCGTTGTAGTCCCATTATTCAGGCAAGGGCCAACCAAGAAAATTGGCACAGAACGACTGGGTTTTCAAAAGCACAGACAGGCGCATCAAATTTGCGTAGGTAATTAATCGTCATTTGTAATCGAAAACCAACAAATTCATGGAATTAGCTGCAGCCTTCCCCACTTGATGCGAATAAACCTCGGTAGCCTGACATGTCTATACATGTATTTGAAGTCGGCACCATCTACCCGTCTAAGTTTACCGCCGGATGACGTGCTGCATAGATATGGTCTTGTATGCGGGAAGTCGTAGAGATTGTATATCGCCACCCCTAATATCCTTTTAAGAAGGATCTATCTCTGCTGAAGATTAGTATATGGGAATATCACGGGCCCCAACTTTATCTATTATCTCCGCACTTTGCATTCTTAAACGGAGAGATATTCCTCAGGCTAAAATAAAGTTTGGGCACCTTCCCCGATGCTATATATTGCCAATAACGTGCAAGGGTCTCGGGGCACCAGCGGGACGAAGTTTTGGACACACTTCCCGGGGGTCGACGTCGTGTATGTGCATCTGCTTTTGACTGTTAGTGTGGGGAGAAAGATCGGCCACTAGTAGGAGATGAATTGTATCTTATCGGTAATTTCTTGAAACTCTTGCCATTTCGATACCTGCTCTATGTGCCGTGCTATCAAAAACTTACATATGCTGTTGGACGTGATTTAAGAAACCGGATTACCGTATAAGAGATAAAGTATTCCCTCTCATTCCTCTGTGATTTTTATCTTTCACCAGTAGCTAGCTGCAAAGTGTTTGCTTCAAATCCATCAGTTATGACAGCTAAGAACGATGACAAGATTGCCACGTCCGGCGAAGATGTTTACGAATACCCTCGAGTTGGTCCCCAATACTCTGATACCGGGGACTTCCAGGATAGAACGATCTCTGTGAGGGATTGGTTCACTGCACTTTTCTCTGATATTCCTGGTCAACTTCTTTATTATGTCAAGTCTCTTTTTCCTATTGCTACTTGGATACATCGCTATAATCTCACCTGGTTCACCGGAGATGTAAGGCTTTTCATTAGCTCAATCTGTGTTCAAAGAGCCAATTACTTACAGATAGCGTGCAGATTATTGCAGGACTTACTGTTGGGGCTGTCGTTGTTCCGCAATCCATGAGCTACGCTCTGCTTGCTTTCATGGGCCCTGAGTATGGGTTGTATTCAAGTTTTGTCGGTGTCTTCATCTACTGTTTCTTTGCTACCAGTAAAGACGTTACAATTGGGGTGAGTTCGGGAGTAATTGTCAAGCTTAGCTTAAATATGAATCCAACTAACAGTAATATATCGTCAGCCTGTTGCTGTGATGACTCTTGAAGTTGCAAAAGTCATCACTCATGTTAGGGAGATACACGGCGATACATATTCGGCTCCAGAAATTGGCTCAGCACTTGCGTTGATTTGTGGGGCTATCTCAATTGGCATTGGCCTCTTAAGAATTGGATTCATTTTAGAGTTTATCCCTGGTAAGCTTTTCCGCATCCGTACAATACAAGGTCTTGAACATCTCTAACAAGGTCATCTAGCTCCCGCTGTTGCTGGGTTCGTTACAGGGAGTGCTTTCACCATCGCAACAACCCAAATCCCTGCTCTTATCGGTGTTCAAAAGTTGTTCAACACCCGTGATGCCTCGTACATGGTCATCATAAACACACTAAAGCACCTGCCAAATGCAAAACTTGATGCAGCTTTCGGGTTTACGGCTCTATTTGGACTGTATTTCATACGCTGGGTACTCAACAAACTGACGAAAAGATACCCACAGCATAAGAGGAAATTCTTCTTCGCAAATGTCACCCGAAACGGAGTCGTGGTTATTATAGTTACTCTTGCTTCATGGCTTATTACAAGGCACGATCCCAAGGGACATGCCAGAATCACAATTTTGAAGGATGTGCCAAGAGGTTTTCGACATGTTGGCCCTTTGAGGATTGATACTCCTTTGGTTCAGGCTATTATGCCGCATATTCCTGTTGCTGTAAGTGTATTTGTTGATGTGGGTTCCGAAAGTTTACTAACAGTTTCAAATAGACTATCATTCTATTACTTGAGCATATATCCATTGGTAAAGCCTTTGGTAGAATCAATGACTACAAGATCAACCCAAACCAGGAGGTTATAGCTATCGGAGCTACAAACATCATTGGAACATTCTTTGGTGCTTACCCAGCCACTGGATCATTCTCACGTACTGCA